CAACCCAACACTCCTGCCCCCCCCCCTCCCCTCCCTCCGACATGATACAATGAATACGAACATTTAGAGAGACGTATCAGACGAGAGTTCAACATCTAGCTTCATTGCTTCATTAAACAAAACGTATAAGAAAACGATCACATGACAATGAACACATCCAACAAATATGGTATACCGAAACGCGGTGTTTATAAACAAACCCTGTGTTTGTAAACAGACCTCGTGGTTCGTAACACCTCAGAGTTGATTTTGTAGTTGGAAATGAAAACGTGCACCCACGTGCACCACTCGAGCGACCAACTGAAACAGAAACCCACAGCCACACACACAACCAGTCGAAACGAGCAAAACCACTGAAAATAGTGGGTTGCAAAAACGCAGGCCCCACAGCCTCCTCTTCTGTAAGGATAACCGTGGGGCACAAGGATTTATGGAGCCGTATTCATACGGCCTTCCCCAAGCGATGCTTCAGCAACGGAGTCCCCTTAAAACCATACAGGTCCACATGCTTGCCTTTGGGTTTTAGGCTGCGTGTAACCCAACATATAGCAGCTAGCCGGGCATGAACATCCACACAAGCCGGCTTGGAGCCAGATAACACAAGCATGAAATATTATAAACACGGGCAACTTTCAGCTGTTGACTCTTTGACAATTCAACACATACTTAGATATTGAAGTCACTCAAACATCCCGGCATGGAGCAATACAGAACTGATGTAGACACATATGTCGACTCTTGAGCACTTGGCCAAGTAATCAGTACACGAATGCTATCTATCAAACAATGGAAAATAGATCAAGCAGGGGATGCGTTGTGCTCTGGTGTTGGGACGATTGGCCGGATCGGAAAAATATTTTGCATGAGCAGGACGGACGGCTTCATGAGGGACATGTCCAGCTTTTACGTGGCCTCCCCTGGACTTGGTTTGATAAGCTCAGGAATACACGATATTTACAGCTGTGAGAAGAACCCTGAATAGCTAACCGAATATAGCGGTGCGGTACCTGTTGACGTAAAACTATGCACAGGTTGAATCTTGCCCTTAAATACATTACTCAGAAATTTAGTAGGTGCTCGCTACTACGTATAGTGATGCTGTGTGTACCTTGTTAGTGTTCGCGCTTGTTAGAATATAACTATGTCAACCAAACGGGTGTCCAAGAAGCCAAGCCCCACAGCAACCACAACCATTTCGAGATGTCCGTCAATTACTGAATCAAGTAATGGCAGGAAAATTCATCTAGTCGTCCGAAACATCCAGCATCCTGATGTTTACCCTTGCCTCCAGCACATAGACGAGCTCACGCCAATTCATTCCACCGGAAATAGCCATGAAGAGACTTAGCATGGTTCTTGGAACGGAATTGAAATGACGGTCGGCCACCTGCCGGGCGGGCATCGTTTCTGGGTATTGGGTCTCGGTGTCCAGGTACGTCATGAGAACATGCACATCAGTGCAACAGAACAGCCGGTTGTCCGAAAATGTTGTTCGGTTCGATTCCGCCTCATGGGGGCTCCTGCTCTAGAACATCAAAGCCGAGAGCTGCTGGGAAAGGTTTTTTGTTGCCTTGAACTCGGCGAGTTAACCAAAGCGTGCACCGTACAAAACCTCCCGAACGACTAGCACGTTCAGAGCAGCCTCCAACAAATAGACTCCCGATGCAGACTCAATGAGGCGTGGGCCGGGCGAGGCTTGAGAAGCTTGGCAGTTGCGTACTTCTACGACTACCACCAGCAACAACTACTACTAGTGCCATGAAAAGGAGGCTGCTCGATTCCTCCGAGAAGTACGACCAGCAAAACTCCCCCCTTTGACTTCTGGCCTCCTGCTGTGCCGTGGGCAACTCCCCATCACCAAGATACTTATACTCATGGACAGCGAACGAGAACCTGGCAGTCTTGTCAGCTTGAACGGAAACTAGGTTGAATTTGGCCGTCTTGCAGCCGCAGCACACTAGCCACAAAGCGATACCTTCATTGATGAACGAAAGTACAGTTTTTCAACTGCGCGAGACAGTAGTCGTAGTAGTAGTAGTAGAAGCAGTAGTAATGGAAAAAGTAAAAATAGTAGTAGTGGTAGTAGTGGTAGTAGCCGTCGTCGTCGTCGTAGTAGTAGGAGTAGTAGTAGCAGTAGTAGTAGTAGTAGTAGTAGTAGTAGTACTGTAGCACTGTGGTAGTAGAAGTAGTTGTAGGAGGAGCAGCAGTAGAAGCAGCAGGTAGCAGTAACAGCAGTAGCAACAGTAGCAGCAGCAGCAGTAGCAGTAGCAGCAGCAGCAGCAGCAGCAGCAGCAGTAGTAGTAGTAGTGGTAGTGGTAGTGGTATGTGGTATGTAGTGGTAGTGGTAGTGGTAGTGGTAGTGGTAGTGGTAGTGGTAGTCGTAGTGGTAGTGGTAGTGGTAGTGGTAGTGGTAGTGGTACTGGTAGTAGTAGTAGTNNGTAGTAGTAGGTAGTAGTAGCAGTAGCAGTAGCAGTAGCAGTAGCAGCAGCAGTTCACAACCGCGACCACGTCACCAGCGCGACGACTGCTAATGCTGATTACGTTTACAAGCGGCTATTGTCCCGAATTACTACTACGACCGCCGACCGCTGCTAAATGCTGCGACTTCCGCAGAGCTCATAAATGCGACTGCTGCTTCTCCTGCTGTCTACAGCATCATGTCGAGAAGCAGTGTCGCAAAGACGTAGACGATGAGAATAAGCAAGACGAGGGCCCAGAATAAGGCCTTCAAGGTGTGGAAGATAGACATGACCAACGTTCGCCTTCGCGGATGCTGAGCTACAAGTCGCTCCAGGCTGTCTTCCAAAGTTCTTATACCGGCAGATCGTTAGCAACAATAGCTAGGCTCTGAAGTTTCAGGGCACCTCAAGGTAGCTAAAACCTCAAACGAACAAAACACAATCACTTGGTAGCAGGAGACCCGAATCCAACCTGAGCCCTCGGGCCCTTTTCTTAGAGATCCAAGTCCCAAAGGCATCAAAGTTGTACTCATTGTCGGGCCAAGCTGCAGGGCTGTTACAAATCGTAATACCCGTACCACGCGAACAGCACGCAGAATGCGAGCGACCCGGATTATGCGGAAGGCCCGCACGGAGGAGTTCGTCGAACCTTAGTATTTGATCTGATCTGACGTGGGCTACTGGTAGCGTAAACGCGCAACAGGGTTTCTCATGTCCAGTTGCACATGTTTGATTGCTTTTGTGCCACTGTCCCGCGCCGCAGTCCTGCTGGTGCCTGCCTCCCAATATCTTGCTCTCTCCACATGGCCGTGAATTCCTTGGGGGGTGAGATCGCGTTCCCAAAATAGTCCCGAAGTCGTGCTGCCTCCGTTGTGCTGGGAGTGTTCCGGGGTTCACTCATGCTCCCACCAAACTCTGATACATCTTCGGCGCGGAGGTGCTTCTGGATTGGTTCTTCCAGGTGCTCTGTTCACTGTTTGGGGTCGACGCTGTCATAGCTTGAAGCTAGCAGGGGTTCAGCGGCTCCGGATGCTTTGGACACGGTAGTTGAATGAGCAGGTCATACCATTTAGACTCTAGCGTGGATAAGTACGTCTAAGCCGATCCTGACACCGACCCTTAAGCACGAAGCGGGACTTGTTTCATTGAGGCATCGAATCACCCGGCATCTGCAAACCCGACAGCCACATAAAGAGCAACGGTATCATGATTCTACTCGAGCAAGGAGGTCGAGCAAGTGAAGGCTCACTTACTTGTTAAATGGCAGGGTGAGAGAAGCCGTCGCTCCGCGCGTGTGAGTGTGTGTGTGTGCGTGTGCGTGTGCGTGTGTGTGTGTGTGTGTGTGTGTGTGCGTGTGTGTGTGAGAGAGAGGCACGATTCGAAAACGATGCGGAGAACAACTCCGCGATGTGGATTTATAGGCTTTCATGCAGATTACAGCTGGCTGGAAATTGGAGGCCTTCCGGCTTCTGTTTGGGGAAAATGCGCGCCAGTAGACTGGTCAGGCAGCAGAAATTAGGGCAACAGTTCGACTTTGCTTACAGAAGATCTGCAAAGCTCAGTGCATACAAACAAAACTCACCTCTGCAGCAAAGCAGGAGAGGCATGCGGGCAACTGTGTTATCGTGACTCTCCTCACTGCCATTATAGATGAAATTCGAGCAAAATCATCGGGCACTGTGTCTAAGCAGTGGCAACCGCCTATCCTGCGAAGCACCAACAAGATTCACGATCTTGTCATCTCTCTTGTCGGCATTTTCTATGGCTGTCTCACATAGTCTCCCATATACAGCGAGCGGGTGCTTAGATTAAGCAAAGAACTGTCGCCAGCATCCTGCTGTGTAAGTACAGAGAAGTCATCGGTCAACTGCAGGACGGACGTGATGCAAATTGTGAGGTCCAGCCAACCCCACATCCTCAGTGCACAGCCAAGCAACCGCCTGATAGACCGAAGCACGACACTATACGACACTCTTGACCGCTTAGGACCTGGAAATTTATGAACCCATGTTTTCTCTGTTGAGGCTTTCTGGCGTCTCCGGACGCAGAAACGAACAAGTCAAACTTGCAATTTGTAGGGACCGAGCTTCCAATCGTCCGATGAACAGAAAACCTCTCTTCCATAGGCCCATACCCGCATCATGAGCTCGAAAATGAAAAGGGCGGTGTAGGACACAGTGACATAAAAGAAGTCCCAGCGAGCATTGTCCGGTTGGTCGATTGAGTACCTCAAAGGCGAGCCAAGGATCATGTCCCATACGAGGAGTTCACAGGATTTCGGAAATGTGTGAATGCCGGAAAGCGCCTTAAGAGCCCTAAAATCCTAAAAAAATGCCACAAGCCGCAACAGAGCCTTCTAAGTTTATCACGGCGCTGGGTCTCAACGCCGATGAAGATGGCGTTCGAAAGAACAATGAGGGTGAAGAACACCTCGAACGTGCCATCGGTCTATGACTACGACGGCGACTACTACTACTTCTCCTACTACTACTCCTGCTCCTCCTGCTACAACTACGATTACTCCTACTCCTGCTCCTGCGGCTACTACTACTGCTGCTCCTGCTCCTGCTGTTGCTGCTGCTGCTGTTGCTGCTGCTGCTGCCACTACTACTGCTACTACTACTCCTCCTCCTCCCCCGCACCAAGTACCTGGCGCCTAAACCCATCATCATCATCATCCTCATCAGCATCATCATCATCGTTGGTATTGACTACAACATCACGAAAGTACTGTAACTACCCCCCCCCACTCCCCCACCCCCGCTCCAACCCCTCAACAGCGGTGGTTGGTATTGGGCTACAGTACTGCCTGTAAATACCGAGTAAACTGGATGTGCGCTTAAAGAGTGTTTAGGAGAGGTTGTTGGTACGAGGAGGCTGCTACTACTACTACTACTACTACTACTACTACTACTGCGGCTGCGGCTACTGCTACTGTTACTGCAATAGCTCCGCAACCGCAACAGCTACCAACACGACTACGACGAGTACTACTGCTGCTGCTGCTCCTACTACTACTACTACTACTACTACTACTACTACTGCTACTACTACTACTACTGCTACTACTGCTACACTGCTACAACTGCGACTACTGCTACTACTTCTACGCCTACTTCTACAACTTCT